ATCTTGCCTGATTTTTTATTATTCAATATAAGCCACTTTCTTCCAAAAACTAATTTTATAAATAATGATTATTTGGTGACTCAATTTATTTGCAAGAGGTGTACACTTATACAAATGTCATTTTCCAGCTCGTGCGCAATTGATTGAGCCCACAAGTTGATTCATCATGAGATGTAAAATACGGAGTAGTAAACATATCATAATGATTGGGTCAATCCAATTGTGCAGCCATATATAGAAGGATTATATATTTATATTCAAGGATTCGAAGCTACCAAGGAAGTTCAAAAACACAATAGTGCGCCTACTTTGAACGCAGACAGTGGAAATTCTTCAGCTATATAATACTCCGTAAGAGAAATGTTAGAGGTACTCTATTTTGGGTATCCAATTTGCACATCACTTATTGAGTGTCAAACAAAATCCCAACCCAACAAAATAATTGTCCCACTTTAACTCATTGCCTTTATGAATCACAAAAGTAGGGAGAGGTACAAAATGAGGTAGCTTTTAGAATTTTTCATACTCCGTATAATAATATCCTATTCACTTGGACACCCACTTAAGTACGTCTTGTGTTTTTATTTAAAAAAATTGAGGATGGAGACACCAGTCAACACGATGATCTTAAAAATCGGAAAAGAATAAAAACAAAGTCAAGTTGTGTTTCAATACAACACGGTTTTTTACAAAAATATTACAAAAACAAAAACTTATTTACATAAATATGACTATTCATTACTACAACGTAGTGCTGTGGTAACTTAATTCAAAACTTGAATATGAATTACTATGATTTCGCTACTACTCTAGTAACTGATCATATTTTTGTAAATCATCTTTATTTTGGTCATATTTATGTAATTATTTCATACAACAACAAATAAAATAATTAAAACCTCCATCTCATTAGATATCAATAACTCTAAATAAAGTGGTAAAGAAGAAAAGTAAAATTCATGAAGTTAAGATTTATATAGAGGAGAAAGCAACGAATAAAACCATAAATTAATTACGGAGTACTTTAATGGAGGAGTGACAAATTTTGAAACAATTAAAAAGAAAAAGTAACCAAAATCTATAGAACGTGAAGTCGTGAAGTTTTTGATGTACGATTATACATACAGTATATACACCATTTAGTATAGGACTAACAATTTCACCCATATTCGTGGATACCTCCATACAATTCGACCCGAACGTGTGGATGAGAACTCTAAAAATATGAATAGTAATTCACCTATACCCACCCATTTCCATCTGTGTATGGGTACAAATGTAGGAAACTCTAATACCTCTAATTGTGTGTTTTTATGAATTGCGAGTTTTTATGAATTTTTCCACTCTAATACATCATGGGTACAAATTTAGGAAACTCTATATGGTTCATTAAATCTCGTGTGTTTACATTTTGAGTAGGCTTTAGCAATTCAATTCGGCCACATGCCCACATGGTGACATGGCTGATGTACTGAAACCAAACATAACGCCATATAATTTTCCTTCCATTATGTTTACTCTGGTTTGGTATTGGTTCGAATGGTTGATTGCGATAAATAAAATTGTGTACATTTGAATAATATACATTTGTTTACTTCAAATAAAACTGTATACCATAAAAAACTTTTAGCTATTTTCATTGTATTCAACATTTTGTAAAATTATGGAGTGCTTGACTGACTATGGTTTCTAGGCCCGGAAGACTCCCTATAAACACGACCACATTTTAAGATCAAATGTAACCCTCATAATGTAACTTATATTTAAATTTTGAAATGTACTATATACACTATTTAGGATTGGGGTGACAATTCAACTCATACACATGAATATTGATACACCATGACCCGAATAGGTGGATGAAAAATACTCATATTCATGATCGAATATGTCAATAACCGTTCCACTCATCATATCCATGCATGAATATCTATACATATGATAATTAGTTGGTTGATGGATGGATGGGATGATAGGTCGGATCGTGTACAAATGAACATACATTCAACTCATCTTCTGCTCCACCTATATGCACTCGTTCATGTGTACAAATAAATAAATATTTATATGCATACATACATTTTGAGTTTAATCCAACACGATATAATAAATATAAATATAAAGATGTATGAACCCTACGTTTTTACGTGGAAACCCGGAAGGGGGAAACCATGAGACATTTTAGGCTAATGTCCAAAGCCTCTCATTTTGTTAATACTCTCCTTACTATTATTACATTGTACAAGCTCCCATTAATGGAGTTATTAAGCTTCTAGAGAGAAGGAGGAAGAAGAGAAAAGATGATTCTTCAATAGGAGGGGAATCCTCCTATTTATAGAGGAAAAGGGAGGGGTACACTAGCTACCCTAATGGACCAAACGGGCCAGAGTGGGGCGGATGGGCGGAAATGAGCCTCACTGATCGGACTTTCTGTACTAGATAATGTCTTGAGCTCCTAAATAGTAGTAGGCCGAGATAATATATCAATAACGGTTCACTCATATCCATGAATATCTATACATATGATAATTAATTGGATGATAGATGGATGAGATGATAGGTCGGATCGTGGACAAATGACCATACATTCAACTCATCTTCTGCTCCACCCATGGGCGGAGCTAGGGGAGGGCCATCCCTGGCCCTGGCCCAGCCCAAATTTTAAAAATGTCTGTATTTTTAGTGTAAAAAATTCCGTGTAAAAAATTTTCAAAAAATATTCTTTGTATCGGCCCAGTCCGGCCTAGTGCTCTAGCTCCGCCCCTGGCTCCACCCATATGCACTCGTTCATGTGTACAAATAAATAAACATTTATATCCATACATACATTATTTGTTATATATTTAATTATTTATTTAAAATCAAAGTATAGAAATGTAACAACACCTGATACTTCTAACGTGTTAGGAATTTAATCGAATTGTGTGTGTTATATGAATTTTGTCACGAATACTTTATCAGTACATACTACAGAGGACCATAAATTTTTTGTCTAGTATTGGTTCAAACTTAGAAGGGTTAATCGTGGTAAAGTTGTGTTAAGACTGAAAACGAGATGATGAATATGGTAAGTTTTGAATTAAAGTTTATTGTTAAAGTGATCAAGTTGCTCTTTCGGGTGGTGATAATTTCTTTCTAAAAAAAAAGATGTTTCAAAAGAAGTTGTTTAACACAAACTTTTTTATAGAAATTTTCATTTCATTGAAACATTCTATAAACATATGAAGTGGCCAACTACTGTTTTTGGGGAAGGCTCCCCATTGAAACTACTACATTTTTATTTTAATGTAACATCATTTATGTAACTCATATTTAAAATTGTTACATTCTTTATCGATCTATTGTAACATGTTTTACATAATTTGATTAGAAGTTACATTTATCATGTCCAAATGTAACATGACGGTTGAAGACCCGAAATAGTTTCAGTAGTATGAGGCAGCTGCTAGCCCAGGTCCGAAAAATAGAAAAAGAAAGACCAACTACTCCTCTTTTGGCGCTCAGCAGTCTGCTCTACACTACTTCAAGGAGGAGTTTGAGCGACAAAAGGTACAGACCGAGTCGACCGGCGACGCTCGATTGTGATATAGCTGTATTCAGTTAGTAGTTAGTTAACAGTAGAGAAGAATATCATGGCAAGGAAGGCTCCTCTCAGCATAGATATTTTCTTGAGGAAGTAATATCGACTTTTGATGAGTCATTGCCACCTGGTAGTAGTCTTTACTTTTCAGGTTTAGCTCTTAAAAACTTTTATTTTGGAACCGTTCACTTATTTTTACCACTCCTTGTATTTGCTTAATTAATACTTATTTGTGCATGCTTATTTCTTGCTGTTTTTTAACTTGGGATTCTTACTAATCCAGTTATATTATTCATCAATCTGCTTTTAACCCATTCTACAGTGAACGATCAATTATTTCTGGACTCATTTGAGTGCTTTCTATTCTGCATTGTATAAATTATAAAGTGGTACTGAGGTTCTCCCTCCGTCCTACATTCTTCATCCCATCTTTCCTTTTTTGTCCATCCCACTAAGCCATCAATCATTGAATTTTGTTCTAACTACAAGATTTTTGTCCTGGATGGATATATTATTTACAACATATACAGTTTTGGATGGAATAAACGCACCCGAATGCAATTCTATCATAAGATTTGATTTGCCAAGTGCTGTTTCTAGCTACATCAACTCTCAAAAACAAGCTTGTAAAAAGGCTTCAAAGTACATACTATGCTTGAAAGGTGAAAGAACTGGATAAGGCCTTATTCTATTTCAGGAAATAGAATTCATGAAGGATATGTTGATGGATTTTTTTTGAGGCTGTTTACACTACAAAAAAACGCGCGTAGTCACGGATTTAGTCACGGACGCCAGTTCAAAAATTCCGTGACTAAATGATTTAGTCACGCTCTCTGGCCGTGACTACGTGACTTAATGGGCATGACTAAATGAAGTCACGGCCACATTAACCGTGACTAAATGTAGTTACGGATTAGTCACGGTCGTCGACCGTGACTATTATCATGCCGGAAACCGGAAACCCCACTCCGACGTGTTAGTCACGGCTGTAGACCGTGACTATTATTATTTTTAAATAAATATTAGTCACGGCTGTGGACCGTGACTAAAGTTTCAAATTTTCAAAATTTTCAAATTACCGCCCGCGGTTGTAATCCCTATTTTGAAATTTTTGAAATTAGTCACGGTTGTAGACCGTGACTACGTTTTTTTAAAAAAAAAATTTAAATAAAAACAAATAATATTTTCGGATTAACTGTAGTCACGGATATGGCCGTGACTAATATTTTTGTTTTTTAAAAAAAAAATTCGAGTTTTTATTAAAAAAAAGTTTTTAAAAATTTACTTTTTTATGCGTATTTTTACAAATTATATTTAAAAATGTTTTTTGAAAATTTTGTTATTGAAAATATTATTCTAATTTTTTTAAAGAAAAAAATTACATTTTAAAGAGTAAAGCAATTAAAAGACATACAACAAACTTAATAAATATTATGACAAACTTTTAAATGTTATGACATACAACAAAGTATAAATGTATGATGATTACATGTCTGTTCATCGTCGGACTCCATTATGAAAAAAATTAGGATTTTCTTCATCTTCATCATCATCAACAAGAAACTCATCTGGGTTCACGGGGGGGTCTTCGGGCTGCTGCACGGGGTCATCGGGTCGGGTTCCTCCTCGGGGTCCTCCTCGGGCTCCATGGCTTGGTGTACCACTACCTCCTCCGGATGACCTCGCAAAATCAAAGGACATAGATCCGAAATTCGGGGAGATCATAGGCATGCCACCGTGTCCGGAGTTGGAGAAAAGACCCTTACCGCCCATGTGCGGAACTTGAGGAGTTTGCTCAGGGTGGAATACGTACGGGGTAGGAAAAGGCTGGTGCGGAGGCTGGAATCCGGCACGCATGAACCGTTCCATCTCCTCCATCCGGGCTTTTGTTTCTTCCTCTCTTTTCCGCTGCTCCTCCCATCGCCGTTCGTGCTCCTGCAGTTCACGCTGCATTTGGGCCATACGAGGATCTTCTCCGCACCTTGACTGAGAAGAGGAAGCGCCGGTGCTTCGATCATACAAAATCCGTTGCCCCTCAGCTCCCAAGCTCGGAACCCGACCCTTGTAAACCCCGGCCGCCTCAATGGCCGCCTCATCATCCGCATCGGAATCGAGCTCATCCTCCTGGGTCAAGCCTCGCTCCGCACGCCGCCTGTCAACGGATTCATTGTACTTCGACTGCATTTTTTTTTAAATATTACATACTTAGATTTGAAATGTTACTAAATAACAAAATATGATGTTACATACTTCGAACTCAGCGAGGCGGGGTGGCAGATTGGCTTCAGACTCCTCACCGTGCTTTGTCCAGCAATGCTTGACGAGGTTGAGAATATTAACCTTCTTCTTCTCAGGACCAGCCTACATGGTGTAAAAAGGCTTAAGAAAATTTTGTATAATCAAGGGTCGTAATGGTGTAAGGTTTTTTGAATAACACTTACAAGAGTTTCTTTATGGGCATACTGGGATTTGCGACCCCCATGCCACTGCGTCTCCAAGGCCTTCTCGGACATCCGGTTTTTCTTACCGGATTGACTTCTGGCCAAGAATTTCGGATCCGAAGACGAGTGGCGACAAAGGTTGGTCCACACTTCATCCGAAACCCATTTAGGCTTTCTCCCACTGTTTCGGGCACGCTTAAAAGTGGGCCGAAGCCAGGCCGAAATCCTATAATTGTAGGCTCTAAGAATATCAGCACCGTTTGCGTGAGTCCAGCGATAGCGAGCCTTTATTAAAAAAGTTGCATTAATTAATCATTTGTTATATATTAGACTACTACAATTATGCAGGGAACATTCATTTATTTTTACCTTAAATAGGTTCCACAATAGTTCGCGGACCTTGGGATCAACATCGGAGTAGGAGGCCCAAATGCCAAGAAAGTGTCCTCCTATTATGTTTTTTATGCCTTGAAACACTGTTTTGTCACTTCAAAAAATTAAGAGTATTTATTTATATGAGATTTGGTTGGATTATTTGACATTATATAAAATTAATTGACTTATGGTTTGTTGATAACTACTTACAAAGCAACTTGGGCTGGGGTCACCCAAACAGCTCTTTCATTGTTGCCCTCGGCTTCGGTCATGGGCGCAAAGTTGGGCTGGGCGGCCGATGTCGATTGTTCATCAGTCATCTAAAATACATTAATTTATTTTGTTTTTTGTTAGTGTGATTGTAATAGAAGATTAATTTTTTTTTATAAGTATTATCAATTGAAAATGTGTATAACATATTAAAATGTGTATAAGTTTAATATGAGGGGCCCAATAATTGCTAATAAACAAATCCTATAATTATCAATGAGTTGACACAGTCGACCGAAGGATCAACTGGTTGGAGCTTATCAATGAGTTGACCCAGTCGATTCATTGATAAGCTCTATCCGGGCGATTTTTTGGGCTACGGATTGAACCATGGATGGGCTAAATCACATGTAGCGACATAATGTAAGTACATGCGTTTGGGAGAGTCCGTCGATGGCTAAAGCCGCAGCCAGAAGAATCGATCGGTTGGAGCTTATCAACGAATTGACTGGGTCAACTCATTGATAAGCTCCAACTGGTCGATTCTTCGATCGACTGGGTCAACTCATTGATAAATTATATGATTTGTTTATTACAAATTATTGGACCCCTCATATTTAACTTATATACAGTTTAATATTTTATACACATTTACAATTGTAAGTAACATGTTCGTTAAACTTTTTGCAAAGTTTACATGAGAGGCCATCATTTTTTTTATGTTTTAGATACATGAGTTTTATACAATTTTTATAAACAGTTTTACAAAATTATAAAAACAGTATACTTTTTTTTCAAAAAAAGTTTATAATTTTTTTTTTTTGTACTTTTTAAATAAAAAACAGTTTTTATAAAAACTGTTTTCTAGAAAAACAGTATACTTTGAGTTTATACAAAAAACGGATTTTATAATGTCTAAATAACAGTTTTATACTTTTTTTTAATTAAATTACAAAAACAGATTATATAAAACAGTTTTTAAGTAAACCAAATTTTCATTTAAAACAGTTTTTATAAAAACAGTTTTTACAAAATCTGTTTTTATATAAAACAGTTTTTATAAAAACAGTTTTTATAAAAACTGTTTTATATAAACTGTTTTATTTATTAAACAGTTTTTATAAAAACTGTTTATTTAACACTTTTTTCTATTAAACAGTTGTTAACAAATATGTTAATTAATCAGTTTTTACAAAAAAAACTGTTTTTACAAAAATCTGTATAATAATTAGTTTTTACAAAATTCAGTTTATTATAAATATCAGTTTTTAGAAAAACAGTTAAACTATTTACCAAAACAGTCTGATAGTCTACTTTTTTTTTTTTACAAAAATCAGTTTTATAGTTTTTTAAAAAACAAAGCACTTTACCATTTTGCTATAAAACTGTGTTGTAAAAAAACAGTTTTTATTATTTAGTTTTTAAAAAACAGTTTTTTTTAACTGCTTATATCCAGATATAAAAAAACTGTTTTGTTCTTTTTTAAATAATTATAAAAACAGTTTATATCCAATTTTTACTTTTTATATTTATAAAAACTGTTTATAAAAACTGTTTATAAAAACTGTTTATAAAAATTTGTAAAATTATAAAAACTGTTTATAAAATAGTTTGTATACTTTTTATAAAAATTGTTTATAAAAATTTGTAAAATTATAATTAAACATGTTAAGTTTGTGAAAGCTTAACATGAGGGGGCAATTTTTTTTAAATATTTCAGGTTAAAGCATGAAAAACATAAACATTGTATAACTATAGAGAGGCATGCATATCAAACACTAAACATATATATTAAATATCATTAATCATGCATATGAACATATATTAAACATATAATAATCTAAATCATTTAAACATAATTATCATGCATACAAAACATATAAATCATGCATATTAAACATATAAACTAAATCATGTTATATTAAACATATAAAACATCTAACAAACTAAATTATATTAAACATGTATACCAACTAAAGAACATGTATTTCTTGAAATTTATTTCGACATGTATTAAACATGTATTCGAAAATTATATTTCGAATATATACTATTAAACATGTTATATTGAAATTTAATATTAAACATGGATTTCGAAAATTATATTTCGAATATTAAAGAACATTATATTTCGAATAAAAATCATGTATATAATCATGCATTTGAGTGTATTTCAACAAAAGAGCATGCACTTTAATAATGGAACATACTTATAATAACATGCATTTTTGGAATAAAAATCAAATTCTAAAAATAAGAATGAAAAGTCATTAAAATTTAGAACACATAACCTTGATGAAGAGGACGGCAAAGATCGACGGAGGTAGCTAACGGAGAGCGGCGGCCGGTGGTGACGGATGGTGGAAGGCGGCGGTGGAGGGCGGTGGAGATTGCCGGAATGAGAGAAGAAGTAAAGGGAGAAGGAGAGTTTTAGGGTTGGGAGAGTGGTGGGAATGAAAAAATTCGCCAAGTGTTATTTTTATATAAGGGCTTAGTCACGGTCATAGTCACGGTCAAAACCGTGACTAAACCCTTCGTAAATGTCGAACGCAGGCCTGACGGTCAGAGCCGCCGCTGACCGGAATAGTCACGGTCAGAGCCGTAACTATGACCGTGACTATTTTCAAAATTTGAAAATAGTCACGGTCATAGTCACGGCTCTGACCGTGACTATTCCGGTCAGCGGCGGCTCTGACTGTCAGGCCTGCAGCGGCCTGACTTCGGCATTTACGAAGGCTTTAGTCACGGTCAGGGCCGTGACTATGACCGTGACTGTTTAATTACAAAAATAGCTATCCTGCGACCCAAGCATTTTGTGCAAAAAAATGACTAATACAGAACCAAATTCGTGTAAGTTATTTATTAAAATGTCAAATTATTACAATATTTAGATTATGAAAAGTAAATTAGTTTTATTTATGCAATATATGCACTTGTAATTTTGTATTTTCGAAGTATTTAAATTATTGGATCAATTTTCAAATTTATAATATGGAATATTGTGGAAACAGTTAAATTTGTAGTGTGGACTGTGGAGTATTAAATAAACTGCTTTCAATTTATCTGGTTTCAATTTGTATCTGAACCGTCTATCTATTCACCTTCTTTCTGATATTGAGCATTTTTGGAAGGTGTGTTTCGGGCATGACTTCAACACGTCCGTCAATTGGATCACTTAATTGGATGTTATAGTTGACCGTCTCAATTAATTTTTGAATTTTCGAATTTTTTGAATTGAAAATATATATTTTTTGTTTTGAATTTTTAAAGTTTTGAAAACTTGTTGATGTTGAATTAATATGGAGTAATTTTTAGTTCATAAATAATAATGAAGAAGAAAAAATCAAATATTGTTGGAGTAATATAATGATGAAGAAAAGAGCACAAATATTAGAAGTCAATAAAATTGAAATTACAACAGCACAATTATTCGCTATCAGAATCGTCATTTTTTACATATACAGTATCTTCTTCTGTATCTGAACCGTCTATCCATTCACCTTCTTCCTGATATTGAGCGTTTTGTTGTGCTACATACATTTCCTCAATTTCGCGCTCAGATGGAATGGTTAGGTCCGGAAGATGCGTTTCTGGCATGACTTCAACACGTCCGCTATTTGGATCACTTAATTGGACGTTATAGTTGACCGTCTCAAAAATAGGCGGAGGTTGGAAAAATTGTTGCTGAAAAGCATCTAGATCAACGTCCTTGTGTTGAGTTTGTGATTTAATTTTGTTCGGACGGACAAGACATGCACACACCCAAGGATTCTGTGTCCGCCTCGTTGAAGGATATTCTGCATAATAAATCTGCGCTGCTTGTTGGGCGAGTATGAAAGGCTCATTTTTCGGGTACACACGAGAGTGGTTGACGTCAATCATATTATACTTCGGATTTTTGCGCACGCCACGTGTGGGATCGACCCATGTGCAGCGGAACAGAACGCATGTCAATTTTTGCGCACCAGAAGGCATCTCAAGTTCCAGAATCTCCTGCAGGACACCAAAAAAATTGGTTTCCGAGTTATCATAACCGATGGTCGGGACACATAACCCGTTGTTCGTTGTTGGTCGGCCCTGTCCGTAATCGGCTGTGTGATATGTGTAACCGTTTATCACATATTGCCGCCACACTTTGGCACTGGCACCTGGGCCCCACGCTAATGATACTAACAAAGGGTCGACAATCCCACGACTATTGATCTGTAAATATAAACATGATAATAACATTAAGTAAATATTGAAAAATCTTACTTAATAATATATATAATTAATGTGTGTGTATATATACATGATACTTGTAGCAATTTACAAAATCAGAGTCCACCAATGCATCAATTTCATTCTCAGGAAAGGCTCATAAAGAAGCTCGGAATTCACTGTGAAGTCAAAAATAAAAAATTAACTACAAATTTAATTTATAAGTATTACAATTATAACTACAAATTTAACTTACTGATAAAACGGTGAGATTTCTGGACAATTCATGAGGATATAAGTATGCGCAATTTGCAATTCCCCACCCAGGATGTATCGTTGTGTCGCAGCACCTTTACCTCTGCCTAGGTAATTGAAGATGGAAACTACATTTTCATATAAATCCTTGCCAATGTCATCGTTCCGGGCAGGTCTCTTCCTTCTGGTGATGACGTCACGCTCGAAGTAAAAAGACGAGAACGTTGAGATTTCTTGTTGAAGATACGCTTGACAAATTGAAGCCTCAACGTGTGCCTTGTTGGTCACTTTCTTTTTCAGCTCTCCTAGAAATCTGCAATAATGCAATATAACAACGGTACACATGTTAACAGTTATTGTGAAATAAATATTCTTTTTTTAAATGAAATTGCGACTAAACTTTCAAATCTGTACATCCAGCGATAGAAGACGGGCCCAGCAGTCAAAGCCTCATACGGAAGATGTATTATAAGATGTTCCATTGTATCGAAAAACGATGGAGGCATTATTTTTTCCAGATTACACATCAGAATGGGAACAGACTCTTGTAGTCTCCGGAGGGATGCCGCATCCAAAATGCTGGAGCATATCAATTGAAACAACAAACTAATTTCAGTAATGCAGGACCATACGTGTTCAGGGAGCATCTCTTTCAGTGCAATTGGTAGAAGTCTTTGCATTATTACATGAGCATCGTGAGTTTTCATGCTCTCCGTCGTGGTAAGTTTTTTCATGTCCACGCATCTAGACAAGTTGGAGCAGTAGCCATCTGGAAACTTCAGAGACGCAAGCCATTTTAATATTATTGCTGTCTTTTGTGGTTCTGTGACCTGGTAGACTGCTTTTGGAACTTCCTTGCCCTGATATTCTAGATCAACAGATAGTTCGGGTCTATCACACCAAATAGTCATATCTTTCCTAGCTGCAAGACCGTCTTTAGTTTTGCCTTTCAAATCCATCACCGTGTTAAATATATTGTCAAAGACGTTCTTCTCAGTGTGCATGACATCTAAATTGTGACGGATGAGAAGGTCTTTCCAATAAGGCAACTCCCAGAATATGCTCCTCTTTGTCCACTTATGGGTATCACAATACCCATATGGCTCTTGGTTTGGCTCTTCCATAGCCGTAGGAAAACGTCGAACCCGGTTATAAATTTCTTCACCGGTCAATCTCGGGGGTGGTCTCTCTCGTACCACTCTGCCTCTAATGAAAGACTTCTTTTCCTTTCGATATCGGTGCCTTTCCGGGAGAAACTTGCGGTAACAATCAAAGTAACTTCCTTTTTTGCTGTAACTGAGCCAGTTGGCACCTTATTTCTCCATGCATATCGGACATCCCATCAGACCGTGTGTGCTCCATCCCGAAAGCATGCCATAGGCAGGGAAGTCGCTAATGGTCCAAATGATGGCAGCTTTCACGATAAACATTTTATCTGATGAAACATCATAAGTTGGTGTCCCAACGGCCCACAGTTCTTTCATCTTCTCGATAAGGGGTTGGAAATAAATGTCTATCTTTCGCCCAGGATCCTTGGAACCCGGACAAATTAAAGACAAAAAGATGAAATGACTTTTCATGCACATGTCGGGAAGGAGATTGTAAGGAGTTAACATGACCGACCAACATGAATAGTTCTTCCCAAACCTGCCAAAAGGAGCAAATCCATCTAAGCACAATCCCAGCCGCACATTTCGTGGCTCCATAGCGAATTGAGGATGACAGCGGCCAAAGTGTCTCCAGGCTTCACAGTATGAAGGGTGACAACATGCCATGTCATGTGTTTCGCAGTAGCAGTCGAAGCGTACATCCTCTGCAGTCGAGGAGCTATTGGGAGGTAATATAGTTTAGACAGTGCAGACCTATGTCGTGGTTTCTTTTTACCTTGACGAACATGTTTGTATCTGTCTCCACCGCAGAACTTGCAGAACTCAAGTGCCTCTTCCTCCTTCCAGAACAACATACATCCTTCCGGGCACGCATCAATTTCAACACAAGGTAGCCCCAACTTGGACATTAACTGCTTCATGTGGTAATATGAATCGGGAAGGGTATGATCTCGCGGTAGCATCCCTCCTACTGACTGCAAGACTCTATTCATGCAAGTTTCAGGGAGACTGTATTCGGCTTTTATGTTCATGAACTCAGTAACGGCGGATAGCTGAGAGTATCCCTCACAATCAGCATACAGAGGCTGGTCGGCAGCTTTTAGAACATCCTGAAATCTCTCAGCCAAACCTTCATCCACATAAGGTTGATAAAATGTCGGATTTTCATCTGCATCTGGTTGATACGAGGTTGAGGCTTCAGGGGGGTCGTTAGGTGGTTGTGGGGGGTTGAACTGAGACATCGGTACACCGTATGCGTCATATACCATTTGTTGGTCCCACCTCATTTCAGCACGGTCTCCCCACGCACTCATCTCTGGAGGGACGTAACGAGACGAACCTACCGTTTGTGGTATAACAGATGGATCCAAAGGTTCGCCGTGAGAAGTCCAATTATAATACTTGGGAACAAAACCGACCGCGTACAAATCATACCCAACTTCGTGTGGGTCTTTAAATTTGAGATTTTTACACTTTGAACATGGACATCTTATTTTATCACCACTCATATAAGCCGGATGTTCAAGTGCGAATTCAATAAATTCCCGGACTCCCTCGAGAAAATTTGATTGCATTTCGTACAATACCGCATCTTTTTATCATACATCCAACTTCTATTTTGTTTATACATTATGCCTGAATATTATAATAAAAAAGTATACACGGTCAAAACGAAGGTTATTAATGTAACAATAATACTACGTTTAACTAATTTTAAGTAATTTATTTCACTAAATAATCAACTAACTAATTTTCACTAAATTAAATGAAATGCACACAATTCACAACAATAATGCACAAAATATAAGTAATTACCTAATACTTAAATTTAACTAATATTACAAAAAATTTAAGTAATTTAACACTACATTTAAATTAAACATACGTTTAACTAAATTTAACTAATTCATTTAGTTAAATTTAACTAAATTTAACTAGTTCATTACGTCCCCTTTTAATGCATCACTACGTTTAAACCTACGTTTAGCTAACTAATTTAACATAATTAACACATCACTAGCTACGTTTAAACCTACATTTAGCTAACGAATTTTAATTAAATTATTTTTGTAAACCTACATTTAAACCTACACTAAATTATTACGTTAATGACATTTAATCTTATTAGTACTACACAATTAACAATTCACTAAATTAAATAATATGACCAAATTAAACCCAATAATTTGAACATGTATATAAAGTCATTTGAATTAATAAATAATACACAATTCACAATAACAATTCACAATTCACTTAATTAACACATTACTAACGTACGTTTAACTAACTAATTTCACTTAACATAAACATCATTACGTTTAAAACTACGTTTAGCTAACTAATTTTAATTAAATTATTTTATAAACCTAACAGTTTAACTAATTTTATGACATTACTACGCTTATAGTTAAATATGTTGTTAATTAATTAAAAACCTCACTAATTTAATAGTTTTAATAATTTAAATTGAACCAACTAATTCTAAATAAAAATAATAATTCAAATAACATACCTTATCTGCATAAACGGGGAAAATGATAGAAGATAGACTACATCCTTCGATCTTTCAAACAGATACTGTATATACTGGGAATGAATTGGTGTGGTTCTGTGGAATAAGCTGCTCCTGCATATATAAAAAATTTAGTCACGGACTTAGTCACGGAATTGTCCGTCACTAAGCAAAACCGTGTCCATTACGCGTCCAACCCGTGTTAATGATGTGTAAATGACGTGTTAATCAAAGTAGTCACGGAAATAGTCACGGACATGGCCGTGACTCAATTTATCCGTACATAATACCGTTGCGAATTAATTTATGGGAGTTGGAAAATTAAATTTTGATCATAGTCACGGCTTTAGTCACGGATGTGGCCGTGACTAAGTCGCCGGAGTAAAACAAGCCAGGCCGGAAAATCAAACGGGCCAATCGGAGGATTTTAGTCACGGACCACGACCGTGACTAAGTGTAGTCACGGCCATAGTTACGGTCCAAGCCGTGACAATTTTTTCTTAAATTTCCGTGACTAGTCCGTGACTAATCCGTGACTACGGTCCGTGACTACACGCGTGTTTTTTTGTAGTGTTAGTAATCTTTATATTTTATATTTGCTTAATAAACAAATTTAAAGCTAAAGGATATTTTGTTTCATTTTAATTTGTGAAGTGGAGGATGAGTTGATGGATACTTGTGAATTGAACTCATTAAGGCTGAGTGTGGTGGGTGAGGTGCAGGGAATATGATAGATTTGAGTGGTTATGGATAGGCAATCAAGCTCGTAAGTAGGTCAAAAAGCCTTTGTTTCATGCCTTGAAGGTCAATACACGCTGCGCGATATAGATAGTGGCAAACATATTAGTACTTTTTCTCTACTTTTAATTCTTACTACCTAATCATTGACTATAATTGGAAAGCATTACCGGGCAACAATAGTTCGGAAGTTACCAAAATACTACAAAGTACTTTTTTCCATAAGAATTTAAAAGAAGAGGAAATACAAGTATACAACAATATAAAATACTAGACATCCTGCTTCATTTTTATCACTTCATGTATATGCTATGTTTTGCTGTTTCAAACCATTCACATTGTCTGTATTTCAGGGGAAACTTAAAAAAAAAAAAGAGCAAATGTTCCATTTGATATGCTGTGAGTTCCCTATGTTAGATATATCAGCAATAAAGGAGGACTATGATTCTGTGACAATAGAGGAGTATAATTCTGTTCCAAAGCAATGTGAAGTGAAGAAAAGCGATGCATATTGTGCACAGACAACTGGTGCATCTGTGGATGTGAGAATAGTGGAGTGTAATTCTGTTCCAAAAGTATGTGAAATGAAGAAAAGCAATGCATATTGTGTAGAGGCAACTGGTGCGTCTGTGGATGTGGATTCAAGCATCAGTCTTGTATATGGATACTGTCAAAAGCTTGGACACAAGTACGAATAATTCTTGCGGAGTAAATATCTAATACTGTCTTCATTTGAATGAAAATATTAATACTTGCTAACATGCTTATCTAGCCAAGTTTCTCAGTGGCATGAAATTCTTTTGCGAAAACTTAAATGTAACCCGTTTCCCGGCAGTCGTCGTTGCTGGGGTTCGAGCACATCGTCGCCGTCGTCGCCATTTAACCGGGAAACCGGTTACTTACCGACCGAAAGGGCTTAATTGAACGTTTTTTAATAGTTCGAGGACTTAATTGAGTGTTTGTAAAGTACGAGGACCTAATCGACTTTTTTGGTATAGTACGGGGCTTATTTGATAGTTGTTTTCCCGGGAAAAAATGATAGAGTACTCGCAGGTATGTAAGATTAACAGAGAAAGATGAAAATGATTCAAGAAAACAACTCCAACCTCATTAATGGTGAATACAAGTTCAGTCGTGGCCCAAAGAGAGAGGCAGTCAGTTTCAATCTTCCCAGTCCAGTTCTAACTAACAAAACAGCCTGTTTACTAACTCCCCTTTCCCCACTATTTATTCTGTTAGGGACCGGGTTTATTAGATACTAAGAATAAAGGACCGGGCCTAGTCTATATCTATCTATATACTGTATAAAAACAAAATAGTGGGAGGGAAAATGGGCGGGAAACTTGTGACATGCACGTGACAAATCATTTTGCCTACACCTACTGCTTTGATTGAATTGATAATTGTAAAGTAACATTCTAGAAGTGACCTTTTCGATTCCCAAACGGTAGAGTAATTGAAAGCAGCATGGGAAGATGTTCCTCATATGAGGTTTGAGCTTCTCGAGAATTCCTGATTTCATATATTTGTCCTATTAAGTGACTTAAAGATTGCAATCCCAGAATTGTCAAGTTAATGTTCTAGAACTGACGACTTTGGCAATTTCGAAGTGTTTCAGTCGTTAAATATCGCGATGATGTTTGGACTTCTCATGTTTTTTTAATTCTAAAAATAAATGGTTGTCCTATATAAGAATATTGGTGTTAGCTGGTAGAACCTACGAAATAGGATTCTTGCGATTTGTAAGGGCAGCGGAAATAGCTTAAGACTGATGGTATTTTGTTACTCATGTTTCAGGCACCTATTTGTTCGCCGCCCTGGCGGAAGAATGGATTAGGGAGAATGGCGGACGGTTCAGTATGACTTGGTGAGGCGGTAGAGGGTTTCTGTGACCTTTGCAGTTTGGGAAGGTGGAAGATGCTTCGATCACATATGGGGATTGGTAGGGAAATGTATATTCTGTTTTCTAAGGGTTACTAATTTATGTCTGTTGTGGATTTAGTTTTAGGCCGGTCAAATTATGTACTCCCTCCGGTTCTTTTTAAACTTCACACTTTCCTTTTTGGGACGGTCCAAAATAAACTTCACACTTACTTCTTTCCTTATTTGGCAAAGAAATCTACATCAAAACAGTGTTAAACAGTGCTAAACAGTGCCAAACAGTGTCTGAACAGTGCCAAACAGTGTCTCAACAGTACCAAACAGTATCTCAACAGTGTACTCTACAGTAAAGTCAAATTTATTTCCTTAATTAATGTGAAGTCAAACTGTGAAGTTTAAAAAGATCCGGAGGGAGTAATTATTTTTAGTAGGGTTTCTTTGTGTCTGTCTATACTTTTCATTGATCTACTGCGGAAGATGAGACAAGAAGATGGCAAGAAGAAAGCTTTTGAATCACTCATTTGGGATTGCATGCCGAAGGATAAGAAGGGGAGAGGACCACCAAGGATTTTGGATTCCACCCACAACATTGAAGAAGCTATTAGGAGCTATTTGATGATAGTCATGTGGTTGAAATTGACAAGTCTATAACGTGGTGTTTTAGATATGATTTGAGAGCATATTCCAGTTTGTAATCTCAGATTACGAGTGCAAGTGGTGTAACTTGATTGAGAATTCGAAATTTATTAATTATCTGTTCATGAAGGTTTTGCTTAATCAAGTTGTCTCCGGTCCTTGTGATTGCTTTTGTTTTTTGTCTAAATTATTTTATTGTTATGGAAAATCTCTGAATTTCAAAATAAGTATCACATATATGCCCTCCCAATTCTGTTTTTTGGGCTTAGGTTCTGGGTCCCTGTTAGTGTTTTGAATTTCTGGGTGATTCCCCTTGAAGCTTGAGTTGCTTTCATGTTAATGACCTCAATATTTTTGAGCTTCTGCTTTCATAGTTTCATGCTTACAAGAAAGTAGCAAGTACGAATCCAAGTATATACGAGTACTAAGTTTCCTCATATATATCTGTATATATATAAATACACAATCCTATGTAGACACTATGTATATATAAATACACACACTATGTAGACACAATCCATTAGTAACCTGTACAACAACACATAAGTAACTGAAATCACTATTTAAAACAATTGTACATCACTTTCTTTAAATTAAAGTATTCGCATTATTAAATACAACAACACATAAGTAACTGAAATCACTATTTAAAACAATTGTACATCACTTTCTTTAAATTAAAGTATTCGCATTATTAAATATTGTGTCTGTATTTGGAAACCTTGCAAGTAGTGTGTGTATTTGTATGCACTATGTTTTTTATACCAATACCAGTGATGAAGATTGGTTATATTAATTGTCTTTTAATTTACATATACATATGGAGTATATACTTATCTTTATGAGGAAGCGGTCCAGCTCAGCTGGTCGCCGACTCACTCTTCCTTATGGGAGGTCTCGAGTTCGAAACTTAATGAAGTGAGTTTCAGCCCAGTTTACTCCAGGCCCTCCAGACCTCCTCCTCAAGACGCCCCCTGGAGTAAAAAAATAATTTTCACCTTTAGTTTACTTTCGGTCAATGGCGGGGTGAGGTCACGACCTGAGCCAGATTGGCCGGTAAAAAATTAAAAAATATTGTTGAAAAAAAATACACTAATTGTTAAAACTAAAATTACCCTAAAGACCTTAGGGGTACGTATGGAGTGGGTTTGTTCCGAAAATACACGAATTGTTTTGCACTAAAAAATAGATAATTTTTAAATTTAAAGTAGAATGTGGTCTAGGTTGAACTTCCCCTAACTACACCCCTTCTTACAGTTTCAATATATTCATCTTTTATTTCTTACCATCTTTGAATTCTTAACCCAATACCACTCATATGATATATATTGGGATTTTGTCAATTTGGTGTTTTGACTATCTATTTACACATTATATCATTAATTTAAGACAATTGTGATGTTTTAACAAATTATTTTTCCCGTGCATCGCACAGGTACTATATTAGTAGAGTATTAATAAGAATAAAGTGTATAAGTTTAGTATAAATAGAAGAGAGAGGGAAGGGTTTAGGAGGCTGTTTTAGACTTTGTCATTTGGGACTTGGGAAGATCGAGAGCCAATCTCTTTCTTTTGGGGGGCTTCGGCTCATTGGGGGCTTCGGCCAGTTTCTTGTTATGACTGTTCTTGTTCTTCTTCATCAATAAAATTCAGTTTGATTTCTATTTCTTTCTGTATAATTGTTCTGGATTCTTGGGGTCTCTATCATATTCTATTCAGAATACTAACTGAAATTACACCTCAGCAACTAACTAATTGTTAACCTTCCTTTTTCCTACTATATACCTTCCCATAAAGCTTATTATTATTATTAGTACTAGCAGCTTCACTGGGTGTCTATAAAAAAACCCTCCATTTAAATTAGAAATTGAAGTTGAAGTATGGAGGAAAAGCTCCACACTAAACCAGAAATTTCCTGTCTTGCTTGGACTCTAATTGTCTGTCTACTGACACATGTGTGACCAGCAATTTAGTGAGTGTCTACAAGATAATGAAGTTTAATAGCCAATGAAACTATATTGATCGCATTCTCCAACCCAAAATAGAAGCCAGTATTGCGTTTTTGATAATTATAAAATGTAATGTATAGCCGTATAGGTATTGGAGATTGATATTTTCTGTTTATGTACAAGTCTATAACACAATATGATTCATGGCCAATTTGAATATTGTACGTATATGCATTATTTGTCCTTAGGCCCGATCTATTTACTGCTTACAATATTAGTTCTGCTACTCCCCCAGGAATGCCAATCCAAAACCAGAATTTGAGACCATTGTGTCCCCAGAGCAGTTGTACCGATGCAAATTAACATTACCAATGAGTGCAGCTTTTCAAACCATTATTGGCCCTGATAGTTTGAATGCTTATGAGCATCTTGGAGGGCCGGAGGCATGCATATCACATGGGTGTGTGTGGCTGAATTTTGGGGAAGAGCATCCAAGCTTCGAATTGGAAACACTCAAATACGCTATGTTGTTAAAACCAGATATTGAGGCGACTCGGACAAGCAATCAATACCGGACTTGGGAGGGTCAGTCCGATTAACGATTGGTCAACCCAGTCAATGTGTATCAAAAAAAGAAGATATTAAAAATAACTCTCATTCAAAATTTATCAATGGTTATAAGAATAAATTAAAAATTAATGCATCACTTTATAAAATAGTCATAAATTTAAGATGTGTTTGTAATTAAATGGATAATTTATAAATAAAATTGATAAACATGAGCATTTCATAAGTATATAGTTACTATTATGATTACAAATTAATATCAATAATTAAAGTTACTATTAAAATTTGTGTGATATATAAATGAATGTTAACATCCACCAATTGTGCGTTTGAGAGTGGCCGGGGTTTGAATTTTGAAACCCCCTGGCTTCGAAATTTTTAATGAAGCGTGTGATTTAACTATTGGGCTCTGAGTAGTTTATTATGGTAGGAGGACTATTAAAAATTCGGCCCTCCGGATTTATGGGCCCTGTGCGGTCGCGCCGGTGGCACTTGCCTTGGGCCGGCCCTGCTCTCCATAATACGTTTTCCTGGAAACTCTTCAAATAAACATTTTTGAGCATTTTCTTGTTTCCTCATGATTTTCACAAGGGTGTGTACAACAATCATACTTTTTTGCAACATTAGACTAATAGCAACCCAAGGTTTTTTTTTATAGTAAACAACCCGAGGTTTAAAAAGCATATTTCAACTTTTCACTCCAAAAATTACTCGAAACAAACCCTATGTAATAAAAAAATGCCAAAGTAAATGAAAACGCAACCATAAACTTAAATTTAATTTTAAATTTAAATATTTAAATTTTAACTTAAATTTTAACCCACGGGCTCAATCATAAATGAGTATTGTCGAAATTTCAAAAGATAAGCAAACTAGTTTTTATAGAGGGTATTCCAATCCGAAGTCGTGCACTTTGAGTTTTTTAATAATTAAGATTGAAGTTACTTTTCTGAACTTGTGGCTTAAAAGTAAGATTGTAGTTATTTTTTCTTACTGAACTCGTGGCTTAAGTTATTGTTCAGAAGTACTTTAGCTATTTTGTGCTCCGTATAATTTTCTCATTTTTTTATTAATAAAATATATTTTAAATATAATTTTTCTACTTCCTCCGTCTCGTTAAGATTGTCTCATTTTATACCTTTTGGAGAAATCTCACCAAGATTGTTTCATACCAAATTTGGTAAAGTTTGCGTGACTCTAAATCATTCTTACTTTATTCTTACTATATCAATTAATAACTGTAGCACCCCGCTCTCTCCTGGGATTTTACGACCCAGTTCTTTTCCGTCAATGAATTCCCCCGTTGGCTTGTTTCTTGATCTGATTTTCTTGATGTTCGTTAGATTTTTGAGTTGTCTGGCAACGAAATCTCGTCTGGTACTATTACGAGCTCGGATTTGTTGATTGAATCGCAGAGTTACTGTTCATGTCGGTTTTGTATTTCGTTTGATTCGCATAACCTGTCGTTTGTTTCTGGAATTCGAGTGCTGTTTGGGGCTCGCCATCTTGTGGAGCAACTTCCTAAGTCGCTTGTGGAAGGTGGGGGAAGCTGAGATTCTGCAGCGGCTACAGACGTGTGTGCATTTACTGTTCATCCGCTAAACAGTGTGATTATGGCAAGAAAGAAACTGTTTATGGTGGATTCTTCCTCGCAGCGTATTACCAAGTCTAGATTTGATCTACTGGCAGGTCTGGAGGATGAGTTTCCTCCCCTGAATGCTGGGAAGGTTGGAGCTGGTGTTCCTGAGGCTACTGGGATTGGAACTAACAACGAAAATGCATTGGTCTCCGTCCAATCTTCTGGAAAGCAAGCTAAGCAAGCTGCAGGGGTTATTCTTCCTGCCATCTCACATTCTACTGAAACTGCTGCAGTGCAAAAGTTGGTGGCAGAAGGCCGTGTAAAAGAGGTGGAGGTAGGAGCAAAACCTTGGAGTACCCTATTTAAGGATAACAGAGACCCTACACATGGAATCAAGCTGAAATATATCCCACCAAAAGGCAAGGAGCTAGACTTTACTGATAAAGTTATGCCATCCATGGTTGAGATGTGGGGCTACTGCCTTGTTGGGTGCTTCACAGGTAAGTTCCCGGGCCTTAAAGCAATTCATGAACTGAAATGGAAATGGGGTGTTAAATGTCTCGTTAGATCCCATGAGAGGGGTTGGGTTATTTTTAAATTCCAAAATGAATCGGATAGGACTAAGGTGTTGAATGAGGGCCCTTACACAATTTTTGGGAAACAATTAATGCTTAAGGAACTATCCGAGGACTTCTCGTTTGAGGATGAAGAGTTTCTAAAAGTACCCATTTGGGTCAAATTCCCCAAACTACCATGGAAACTATGGAATGATGAGGCTATGAGTGAGGTAGCATCGATGGTTGGAATTCCGTTGACTACGGACAAGATAACTCAAGAGAAGACGAATCACAACTTTGCTAGGGTCCTAATTGAGGTTGATGTTTCAAAACCACCACAACTTTCATTTCCCATACGTTTATCTTCCCGAAAGGTATTCAAACAAATGGTGGTTTACGAAACATTTCCTAGTTATTGCTTTCACTGCAAAGAATACGGGCATCACCCGTTTATTTGCGAAAAATTGGCACCAACTCAGGATGAAAAAACTGTCTCTGAGAAACTAAATTCTACTCATATGGTGAAAAGAAAGCAAGCTGCCCACTGTGATATTTTGGTTGAGCAGGAGGGAAGTATTCTGGAAAACAATGGTGAGCCCACAAGAGAGGAGCGGGTTATGGTAGAAATGGGTGTGCACGATGAAAATATTACGAGGGCTGAAGATATTGGAGCTGCTCGGGATATTCTGCAACCTGTTGTGCTGGATGCTGATATGCCAGTGTCGGAAAAGCCAGAATCTATGCACACTGCTACGCTGGGAACTGATGTGCCGGAAACGCCGGAATCTGACTTGGTGACAGAAAATGCGGAGATAGCTACTAGAGCGAGGACTGCGCATGAGGAGTTTATTGCAAAGGCTGATAAGGCACTTCGTATTGCAATGGAAAAAAGGACAGAACATGCTAAAAAGGGCCCGGGCAGAAAATTGAAAAATCAAAGGAAATTTCGAATTTATCTTTAATTATTTAGTTAATTAAGGATTTGTGATGTGGGGGTTGTCCCATTACCCGATTTAATCTAGGTTATTATCGGCTTTATTATGGGAATTTGGGATAGATTATGGCTGGAGCTTTACTTAGTAACTTGTGAAGTGGGGACTATCCCATTATTTTGATACATTATATCTAGGTTAGTTTATTCTAGCTTAGATAGTCATTTTGAGTTGGATTTGATGCATTGTAAAATGCTATTTTTTCGATTTCTAATATACTTACATGTTATCGAAAAAAAAAATAACTGTAGCACCCCCTCTTGTCCCAATATTAGTAGGGTGGATCGGGGTAGTACAATTCAACAAATTCAACCAATTCAATCGCTTTAGTCACTTCATCAATTTCTGTAGTATCAAACAAGAATTAAGTGTTATTAAGTATTATGGAGTATATCATTAGTGTGTCGTTCAAGAAAATATTAGAAAAAAATATAGACACTAAATTAGTATAGTCCCTAGGTACGAATGTACGATAAGACATGTGTTCAAGAATCAACTGACGTACTTTCTCCGTTCTTAATAAATACAACGGTCAACGTTTCACACTTGTCGAGACACCACTTTGACCATTAATATATACAATTTTGTATTATTAGTAAAAAAGTTAAAAATTAGATGTTGAAAATTTACAATGAGACAAATTTAACAATATTTTTTCATAAAAAATATTAATACATTAATAAATAAAATATAGTCAAAGTAGATCAGTGAATATATAGTGCAAAATTCAACATGTTCACTACAAAAAAACACTCGTTTAGTCACGGACCGTAGTCACGGATTTGGTCCGTGACTAGCCTAGTCACGGACTAGTCACGGACTAGTCACGAAAATTTAAAAAAAAAATTAGTCACGGATTTTACCGTGACTACAGCCGTGACTACACGTAGTCACGGATTTTTGTCCGTGACTAACATCCTCCGATTGCCCGTTTTATTTTCCGGCCTGGCTTGTTTTACTCCGGCGACATAGTCACGGCCACATCCGTGACTACAGCCGTGACTAAATTTAAAAATTAATTTTGCATTTCCCATAAATCAATCCGCAACGGTATTATGTACGGATAAATTTAGTCACGGACATGGCCGTGACTATGTCCGTGACTACTTTGATTTACACGTCATTTACACGTCATTAACACGGATCGGACGCGTAATGAACACGGTTTTGCTTAGTGACGGACAAATCCGTGACTAAGTCCGTGACTAAATTTTTTATATATGCAGGAGCAGTTCATTCAACAGAACCACACCAATTCATTCCCAGTATATACAGTATCTGTTTGAAAGATCGAAGGATGTAGTCTGTCTTCTATCATTTTCCCCATTTATGCAGTTAAGGTATGTTATTTGAATTATTATTTTTATTTAGAATTAGTTGGTTCAATTTAAATTATTAAAACTATTAAATTAGTGATGTTGTTAATTAATTAACAACATATTCAACTGTAAGCGTAGTAATGTCATAAAATTAGTTAAACTGTTAGGTTTATAAAATAATTTAATTAAAATTAGTTAGCTAAACGTAGTTTTAAACGTAGTGATCTTTATGTTAAGTGAAATTAGTTAGTTAAACGTACGTTAGTAATGTGTTAATTAAGTGTATTGTGAATTGTTATTGTAATTGTGTATTATTTATTAATTCAAATGACCTTATATACATGTTCAAATTATTGGGTTTAATTTGGTCATATTATTTAATTTAGTGAATTGGAATTGTTAATTGTGTAGTACTAATAACATTAAATGTCATTAACGTAATAATTTAGTGTAGGTTTAAATGTAGGTTTACAAAAATAATTTAATTAAAATTCGTTAGCTAAACGTAGGTTTAATCGTAGCTAGTGATGTGTTAATTATGTTATATTAGTTAGCTAAACGTAGGTTTAAACGTAATGATGCATTAAAAGAGGACGGAATGAACTAGTTAAATTTAGTTAAATTTAACTAAATGAATTAGTTAAATTTAGTTAAACGTATGTTTAATTTAAATGTAGTGTTAATAAATTACTTAAATTTTTTGTAATATTAGTTAAATTTAAGTATTAGGTAATTACTTATATTTTGTGAATTATTGTTGTGAATTGTGTGCATTTCATTTAATTTAGTGAAAATTAGTTAGTTGATTATTTAGTGAAATAACTCACTTAAAATTTGTTAGTATTATTGTTACATTAATAACCTTCGTTTTGAACGTGTATACTTTTTTATTATAATATTCAGGCATAATGTATAAACAAAATAGAAGTTGGATGTATGATAAAGATGCGGTATTGTACGGAATGCAATCAAATTTTCTCGAGGGAGTTGGGGAATTTATTGAATTTGCACTTGAACATCCGGCTTATATGAGTGGTGATAAAATAAGATGTCCATGTTCAAAGTGTAAAAATCTCAAATTTAAAGACCCACACGAAGTTGGGTATGATTTGTACGCGGTCGGTTTTGTTCCCAATTATTATAATTAGACTTCTCACGGCGAACCTTTGGATCCATCTGTTATACCACAAACGGTAGGTTCGTCTCGTTACGTCCCTCCAGAGATGAGTGCGTGGGGAGACCGTGCTGAAATGAGGTGGGACCAACAAATGGTATATGACGCATACGGTGTACCGATGTCTCAGTTCAACCCCCCACAACCACCTAACGACCCCCCTGAAGCCTCAACCTCGTATCAACCAGATGCGGATGAAAATCCGACATTTTATCAACCTTATGTGGATGAAGGTTTGGCTGAGAGATTTCAGGATGTTCTAAAAGCTGCCGACCAACCTCTGTATGCTGATTGTGAGGGATACTCTCAGCTATCCGCCGTTACTGAATTCATGAACATAAAAGCCGAATACAGTCTCCCTGAAACTTGCATGAATAGAGTCTTGCAGTCAGTAGGAGGGATGCTACCGCGAGATCATACCCTTCCGGATTCATATTACCACATGAAGCAGTTAATGTCTAAGTTGGGGCTACCTTGTGTTGAAATTGATGCGTGCCCGGAAGGATGTATGTTGTTCTGGAAGGAGGATGAGGCACTTGAGTTCTGCAAGTTCTGTGGTGGAGACAGATACAAACCTGTTCGTCAAGGTAAAAAGAAACCACGACATAGGTCTGCACTGTCTAAACTGTATTACCTCCCAATAGCTCCTCGACTGCAGAGGATGTACGCTTCGACTGCTACTGCGAAACACATGACATGGCATGTTGAGCACGAAACCAACGAGGGTATGATGGCTCACCCTTCGGACTGTGAAGCCTGGAGACACTTTGACCGCTGTCATCCTCAGTTTGCTATGGAGCCACGAAATGTGCGGCTGGGATTGTGCTCAGATGGATTTGCTCCTTTTGGCAGGTTTGGCAAGAACTATTCATGTTGGCCGGTCATGTTAACTCCTTACAATCTCCCTCCCGACATGTGCATGAAAAGTCATTTCATATTTTTGTCTTTAATTTGTCCGGGTTCCAAGGATCCTGGGCGAAAGATAGACATTTATCTCCAACCCCTTATCGAGGACATGAAAGAACTGTGGGCCGTTGGGACACCAACTTATGATGTTTCATCAGATAAAATGTTTATCATGAAAGCTGCCATCATTTGGACCATTAGCGACTTCCCTGCCTATGGCATGCTTTCGGGATGGAGCACACACGGTTTGATGGGATGTCCGATATGTATGGAGAAATCAAGTGCCAACTGGCTTAGTTACAGCAAAAAAGGAAGTTACTTTGATTGTCACCGCAAGTTTCTCCCGGAAAGGCACCGATATCGAAAGGACAAGAAGTCTTTCATTAGAGGCAGAGCGGTACGAGAGAGCCCACCCCCGAGATTGACCGGTGAAGAAATTTATAACCGGGTTCGACGTTTTCCTACGGCTATGGAAGAGCCAAACCAAGAGCCATATGGGTATTGTGATACCCATAAGTGGACAAAGAGGAGCATATTCTGGGAGTTGCCTTATTGGAAAGACCTTCTCATCCGTCACAATTTAGATGTCATGCACACTGAGAAGAACGTCTTTGACAATATATTTAACACGGTGATGGATTTGAAAGGCAAAACTAAAGACGGTCTTGCAGCTAGGAAAGATATGACTATTTGGTGTGATAGACCCGAACTTTCTGTTGATCTAGAATATCACGGCAAGGAAGTTCCAAAAGCAGTCTACCAGGTCACAGAACCACAAAAGGCAGCAATATTACAATGGCTTGCGTCTCAGAAGTTTCCAGATGGCTACTGCTCCAACTTGTCTAGATGTGTAGACATGAACAAACTTACCACGACGACGAGCATGAAAACTCACGATGCTCATGTAATAATGCAAAGACTTCTACCAATTGCACTAAAAGAGATGCTTCCTGAACACGTATGGTCCTGCATTACTGAAATCAGTTTGTTGTTTCAATCGATATGTTCCAGCGTTTTGGATGCGGCATCCCTCCGGAGACTACAAGATTATGTTCCCATTCTGATGTGTAATCTAGAAAAAATAATGCCTCCATCGTTTTTCGATACAATGGAACATCTTATAATACATCTTCCGTATGAGGCTTTGACTGCTGGGCCCGTCTTCTATCGCTGGATGTACAGATTTGAAAGGTTAGTAACAATTTCATTTAAAAAAAGAATATTTATTTCACATTAACTGTTAACATGTGTACCGTTGTTATATTGCATTATTGCAGATTTCTAGGAGAGCTGAAAAAGAAAGTGACCAACAAGGCACACGTTGAGGCTTCAATTTGTCAAGCGTATCTTCAACAAGAAATCTCAACGTTCTCGTCTTTTTACTTCGAGCGTGACGTCATCACCAGAAGGAAGAGACCTGCCCGGAACGATGACATTGGCGAGGATTTATATGAAAATGTAGTTTCCATCTTCAATTACCCAGGCAGAGGTAAAGGTGCTGCGACACAACGATACATCGTGGGTGGGGAATTGCAAATTGCACATACTTATATCCTCATGAATTGTCCAGAAATCTCACCGTTTTATCAGTAAGTTAAATTTGTAGTTATAATTGTAATACTTATCAATTAAATTTGTAGTTAATTTATAATTTTTTTATTTTTGAATTCACAGTGAATTCAGAGCTTCTTTATCAGCCTTTCCTGAGAATCAAATTGATGCATTGGTAGACTCTGATTTTGTAAATTGGTACAATATCAGGTATATATATACACACACATTAATTATATATATATTATTAAGTAAGATTTTTCAATATTTACCTAATGTTATTATCATGTTTATATTTACAGATCAATAGTCGTGGGATTGTCGACCCTTTGTTAGTATCATTAGCGTGGGGCCCTAGTGCCAGTGCCAAAGTGTGGCGGCAATATGTGATAAACGGTTACACATATCACACAGCCGATTACGGAGAGGGCCGACCAACAACGAACAGCGGGTTATGTGTCCCGACCATCGGTTATGATAACTCGGAAACCAATTTTTTTGGTGTCCTGCAGGAGATTCTAGAACTTGAGATGCCTTCTTGTGCGAAAAAATTGACATGCGTTCTGTTCCGTTGCACATGGGTCGACCCCACACGTGGCGTGCGCAAAAATCCGAAGTATAATATGATTGACGTCAACCAGTCTCGTGTGTACCCGAAAAATGAGCCTTTCATACTCGCCCAACAAGCAGCGCAGATTTATTATGCAGAATATCCTTCAACAAGGCGGACACAGAATCCTTGGGTGTGTGCATGTCCTGTCCGTCCGAACAAAATAAAATCACAAACTCAACACAAGGACGTTGATCTAGATGCTTTTCACCAACAATTTTTCCAACCTCCGCCTATTGTTGAGACGGTCAACTATGACATCCAATTAAGTGATCCAAATGGCGGACGTGTTGAAGTCATGCC